TAAAAATGGAGAATAGCTTCACATGACTACTATCAGACTGGGAGCCTCGGAATAATAAGTTTCCAACAGAACATTTATTGAATAATAAACCATCTTGATGTATGTGTCTGGGTCTGTGTGCCTGAGCCACCCAATGGGCCTGTGAGAAGACATAGCCCAGGTGCCGGGTATTAGTGTGAAACACTGATGTGTGAAACACTGATGTGTAAAACACTGATGTGTGAAACACTGATGTGTGAAACACTGATGTGTGAAACACTGATGCTGAGCACATGAGATGTGGGGGGGAATGGAGCGGGCAACGGCACTGGGGAAAGCCCAGGAACGTGTGCTGGGGCTGCAGTGCTGCTGGCACACGTGCAGCAGGTGAGGCTGGCGCACGGTGATGACCAAGCAATGGATGGCAACATCGCTGTGGGACGGGTGGTGATGTCCCCCAGTGAAGGTGAGGACAGGCAACACGGCCAAGCCGTGGTTTGTGACGTCTCCAAGTGATGCATTGTGACTGCTTGGCCCACGCTGCTTTAACGCAGGTGCAGCAGCCCGGCCCAGCAGTTCGTGCCTGGCCTCCGACCGAGCGTGTGTGCGAGGACTGGAGTGTGGACAGGGCGAGCTTTGGAGCTGGAACGTGCTCTGGGTGCTGCTGGCGCAGCTCTCAGACACGTCTCAGAGCCACTTGTGTTGTATCCTGACCCTGCTGGCAGCAGGCAGCCGGGACATCGCGGAGAGGCGCGTGCAGCAGCGCAGGTAGGCAGCGTGGCAATGCCTCACGCCGGCAGCCAGGGGGAGAATCTTGAGGGACCCTCCCCACACTGGCCCATGCCCATGAGGTCTCTTGTCCACTTCCAGTGTGACACCTGCTGTCACAGCATCTCAGCTGGGGAGCACACTGTCATCTCCCACTCTCCCATGCCTACCACAGCTGGTGGAAGCATGGAGGTGGCATTACATACCCTCAGCCCCACAGGCCTGGCGAAGTGGGACAGCGTGGTATGCACCACACCATGCTGCCACCAGTTTTGTTTCCACTGCACCCAGCTGTGCAATAGCTGCAGGCCCTAGTGGCCACTCTGCAAACAGGGCGTGCAATCCATCATCCATGCAGTACAGGCACACAGCGACTGTGAGGAGCTGGTCCTCAGGGCAGCCCAAGTGCATTGCAGCATATTGGACCCATCTACTTTGCCATGCTATCTTATGGCACCATCTAATGACAAGTTGGTTACAAGTTACACATGCAGTAGAAATACGTGAAACCTTTATTTCCCCAAGTCTATTACCATTAGAAAGGAAGATCATAGAATGACGGAGGGCAATGGAGGCCCAGGCTGGGGCCCCAGGTGGGGTTACCAACCAAGAGGTTGTGATGTCAGCAATGGAGATGACTGTGACTTGCTAGCCCTCCCTGTATAGATTTGGGCTCTGGCAGAGGCCAGCGTGCACTCGTGCCTGGACTCCAGTTGAGCACAGTTGCAAGACTTGGAGCACTGAGCGAGTTGGTTGCGTTGAGCTGTGGGGCTGCTGGCACCAGTTCTTGGTGCCCATCCCACAGCATCACCAGTGTTTCCCCCAGCCCTCCCTGCCTCAGGCAGCTGGGGCCGCACAGGGTGCGCTTGTAGCGGCAGAGGTGAGTGGTGCAGGACATCATG